TGATCCTCAGATCTCAGCCTCCTGAGTAGCTAGGATTATAGGCGAGCCACCGGCGCCCGGCTGAGAAAGTAAGTTTTAATTACTTATGTTTCATGTACTTTAAGTACTTGCTTGTCATTAAAAGGCATGGTTTTTCTTTATTTTTATAACAATTCATATGAGAGTTTAAATGTTTTTGGCTAAGCTTGCTAGTTTACTTGTATTCTGCTACTTGAACCTTACCTCTAGCCAAGCTTTTTGATACTTATTTTGGAGAGGGAAGTCTCATAGACTTTGCTGGGCTGGCTTTGAGCCTTTGTCTTCTACATAAAGTAGCTCTGGGTTGCTAGGATTACAGGCATGAACTGTAGGTGCCTGGCTTTAAGAGTTTTTTTTTCTCTAAAGCAAGAAACTACTGAATGTCATTTGATATAATAATATTTCTAGTGTTTCAGAAAGTACAAATTTGTGAATTCTTACAAATGTATGGAATCAAGTTTTTCTAAGAAGTTTAAATGTTTAAGTACATGATCTCACTATCTTAGAAACATGTTTTAATGTTATTTGTTAAGCTTATAAGTTTGTTTTTAGTTGTCAAGCTATGAGAGCCAGATTGCCAAGCTGCGGTCTGAGGTTGAAAAAGGAGAAGCATTACGACAAAGTCTGGAATATGATCTGGCTGTTGCTAGAAAGGAAGCTGGCCTTGGAAGACGAGCTGCTGAGGAGCAATTAGCTGAAGCCCACAGGATCCAAGAAAAACTTCGTGGTAAGAATATTGTTATTTTGGGGCTAGGAAGGTGGCTCAGTGGTAGAGCGCTTACTTTGCATGCATGAGGCTCTGGGTTCGATTCCTCAGCTCCACATTACCAGAAAAAAAAGCCGCAAGTGGCACTATGGCTCAAGTGGCAGAGCACTAGCCTTGAGCTGAAGAGCTGAGGGACAGCACTCAGGCTCAGAGTTCAGGCCCATGACCGGACCTCCCCTCCCAAAAAAAAAGAATATTGTTATTTGTTTTAATGTTTAGGACTGTAACATTATTCTATAGCATTGCTTGATGTGTATATTTGTGTAGGATCAAAGGGAGGGTTTGGTTCATTGACTGGTCTTTGATGGACTTTGCTGAGTGTGTATAAAATCTGGCAATTCTGTGAATACTTACCTACTTTAGATTCTTAAAAACATTTTTTTTTTTTATGGGGCTGGGAAGGTAGCTCAGTGGTAGAGTGCATGCCTTGCAAGCATGAGGTCCTGGGTTCGATTCCTCAGCACCACATAAACAGAAAAAGCCGGAAGTGGCGCTGTGGCTCAAGTGGTAGAGCGCTAGCCTTGAGCTGAAGAGCTGAGGGACAATGCCCAGACCCAGAGTTCAGACCCCATGACCAGCAAAAAAAAATAAAAAATTATGATGTTGAGGATCCAATCCAGGGGCCTTATGTGTGCTACTTAAATATTCATCCTCCTTCAAAATGTATTTCAAGGGCTGGGAAGGTGGCTCAGTGGTAGAGCGCTTTCCTTTCATGCTTGCATGAGGTCGTGGGTTCGATTCCTCAGCACCACATAAGCAAAAAAGAAAAAAAGCCGGAAGTGATATTGTGGCTCAAGTGGTAGAGCGCTAGCCTTGAGCTGAAGATCTGAGGGACAGCATCCAGGCCCAGAGTTCAGGCCCCACGACTGGACCAAAAAACAACAACAACAAAAAAAATGAATTTCAAAATTACTTTTGCTTCCTACTACTACCATTGTTAAAGAAGGTCTTCCAAGAGTACAAAAATACCCTGGATTCTAAGGCATATTGGAAAAGATTGGAGCAGATAAATTAGATCAGTCAAAGCATTGCAAAAGTACTTAGAAGGTACAAGAGACATACAAGTCTTCTCAGACACAGTCAAAAGATTAAACCTACAGATGATAGGGATAGATGAGGAAGAAGAAATTAAAATAAAGGCTTTGAAAACCTATTCAACAAAATAATAGCAGAAAATGTTTGAGAAATAGAGTATCATCCTTGTGCTGGAAGCCTACCGTATTCCAAACAGGCAAGATTAGTAAAGAAATGCTCCTAGATACAGTATAGTAAGCTATCTAAATATACTCCAAACAGGCAAGATTAGAAAAGAAATGCTCCTAGATACGTATAGTAAGCTATCTAAATATACAGAATATCGAAAGTGTAAAAAGAGAGGAAACAAGTAACTTACTATCACAAGCTCATTGTAACAACAGCAGATTACTCAACACAGATAACTAAATGCCAGGAGGACTTGGAAAGACATTATTCGAGATCCAAAAGACAACTGTCAACCCAGACTATTTTACATAGTGAAGCTATCCATTAAAATTGGTTGAGAAATAACAACATTCCACAATAAACAAAAACTACTGGAATTTGGGCTGGGAAGGTGGCTTAGTGGTAAAGTGCTTGCCTTGCATGCATGAGGCCCTGGGTTCGATTCCTCAGCACCACATAAGCAAAAAGAGAAAAGCTGGAAGTGGCGCTGTGCCTCAAGTGGTAGAGCGCTAGCCTTGAGCTGAAGAGCTGAGGGACAGCGCCCAAAGCCCAGAGTTCAGGCCCCCACGACTGGACCCCCCCCAAAAAAAAAACAAAAAAAACTACTGGAATTTATGGCTTCCAAACTAGCACCACAAAAGGTAGTTAGGGGAAAAATTACCTGCAGTAGAAGAAAACATAACAAAAAAAACATAATGCCAGGAAACATGGCATACTTCTCTCAATACTGACATTGAATGTTAAAGATCTTAGTTCTTCAGTCAAAAGACATATACCAGTCAGGTTCTGGTGGCTCACATCTGTGATTCTAGTTACTTAGGAGGCTGAGATCTGAGGATTGTGGTTCAAAGCAAGCCTGGGCAAGAAAGTCTGTGAGACTCTTACCACCAATTAACCACTAAAAACTGGAAGTGGAGTGGTAGCTCAGAGTGGTAGAGCACTAGCCTTGAGCAAAAAGAGCTCAGAGAAAATGCCCAGGATGCGAGTTCAACCCCCATGACTGAAAAATTGAAGAAACAAAACCCTCAAAAAACATAATGGATACTTAGATAAAAAAATATATCTAAAACAAGATCTAACTCTCTGTTGCTTATAAGAAACACTTGGCTTGGGGTAAAAGAATGGGTAAAAAAGACCTTCCAAGCAAATGGACTTCAAAAGTGTTTAGCATTAACCATACTTATATCTGATACTATTGATTGCAAGCTAAAAATTAGTCTGAAGAAACAAAGTCACTTCATATTAATGAAGGTATTGATCCATGAAAAAATATTATGATTGTTAATACATATGCACCAAATAGCTCACACTCAGATTTATTAAATACTTCTGAACTTAAAAACTTTGATAGATAATAACACGATAATAATGAGAGACTTCAGTATTTCACTTTCACAGATAGGTTATCCACACAAAAACATCAGTAAAGAAATCCTAGAATGGCAGCCTTAAATGGCAGTGTAGACGAAATGAAATGATCAGACATCTACAGATGTTACAGCACAATACACATTCTTCTTGGCAGCTCATAAGACTTTCTAGAATATATAGCAAGTCTGAGAAAATATAAAAAAATTGAAATATTCTATCAGACCAAAATGGAATTAAACTAGATCTCAACAGAAAAAAGATACTACAGACAGTATTCAAACACAGACACCAAACATAATACCAAACCTTAAATTATCTTGAAGTACCATGGTAAGCCGGGTGCTGGTGGCTCACACCTGTAATCCTAGCTACTCAGGAGGCTGAGATCTGAGGATCACGGTTCAAAGCCAGGAAAGTCCGTGAGACTTTTATCTCCAATAAAACCACTAGAAAACTGGAAGTGGCGCTGTGGCTCAAGTGGTAGAGCACTTGCCTTGAGCTGACGAGTGCAGGGACAGCTCCCAGGCCCCCCATGACCGACCAAAAAAAAAGAACCATGGTAACAAAAACATGGTATTGGCACTGTATGTATGTATACATGACAGGAAATCATGTCATTTACAGGAAAATGAATGCAATTGGAGGACATTAAACTGAGACATACTAAGTTCAGAAAACAATATATCACATTTTTAGTTATATGAAAACTATATATATTAGCAAGAACAAAATATCCTAAATTTCTAAAATTCTGTATTTTCATACTGTTAGACCAAAAAGGCTACAGGTTCTTATCTTTTAAAAATATGCACACGTAAGTGCTTTGCTTTTTGTTT